AAAATATTATCAGAGTCTATCGAAATTGTCATATGAAATAATATAAATTTTTAATCGAATAACATAATATATACGTGAATAATAACTTTATATATTATAAGTTAATTTTATAGAGTTGAATTAAACTCATATATATATATATATATATTATGTGTGTGTCTTTTTATTTTATTAAATTCAAAACCAATTTAGATCATTATTTTATGCGCCATTTTACTTAGATTTGAAGGCGAACCGGTAAATGTGTTTATTTATTTAAAGAAGAAGAAGAAAATTATTCTTATATTGTTTTAACGGCCTGTGTTAGACAAATTTGCAGTAATATATACATATAGAAGAGCGGCATCATGTTAAAGACATCCAAGTCGATGAAAGCACATGTATCATAAATCTTTTTTTTTTTTTTTTTGAGGGCACATGTATCATAATTCATAAATCTAACAACCACATGTACAACAAATTCTTATTATAATTTCTTTTTGCTAAAGCAGTTTTGGTCCCTTATTTTATTATTATTTTCGCATACTGTCTCATATATAAATAAAATTTAACAGATCATTGTCCTAAAAGAAAATGTCATTGTTTTTAAGTATCTCTCACCACTAACTTCAACCAATACGTTAGTACTCACATAAAATTTGTCACGTAAGCTACTAGACATGATAAACACATCAACTTTCTATCATTTATCCAGCATTATTTAAATATACAGGTTGGTTTAACGTAATCGATAAATAATTAAATTTTATTAATAAAAAAAAGTTATATCAAAACATTGTGAGTTTTAAAACTTGTTACTGATTTTTATTCAAATATATGTTGTTATGTTAGTTGTTGTTTTTAAGCTGAAAGACTCTGAAATTAAGGAATTCTTTGAGTTTTTAGGTAATTATATGAGTTTTTGTAGCCTGAAGTACAATTTAATCAAGCAAAGAAGAATATATAAGGCTTATTTTGAAACTTAAGTCTTATAAGCTCATTTCTCCAAATAACTTAGAGAGAAGAGCTTTGATTTCTAAGAACCTTTCTTCTTCTTTCTAACCCTTGGAATTGTTGTTGAGTAGTTAAGTGGTGATCCGAAATAGTGAAGCTAAGGATTGTTGTTGAAGTAGAATTTTTTTGGAGCTTGGAAGCTTGGAGTCGTCTTCTACTTCCTTCTCCTATCCTTCTCGAATTATGAGACTTTAGGAGGTAAGGGAAGTTAGAAATTTGTTTAATTGTTGGTTTATGAAGTTAAATGTTGTTTGATTTCTTAAAATTTGTGGCTGTGTCGATGACTGAGATGGATTTGCATGTGTTGAGCGTCTTGTTCTTGAATATGTGAAGTGAATTTGGTGAATTTGTTTTGGGGGTATAGTTGTATGTGGTTTATGAGGCTGGATTTGAGATATATGAAGTGTATATGCACATTGTATTGCATGTTGGAGTTTGTTTTTTAATTTTCAAGTGGTTTGAGCCAAATTCGTGAGTTTGAAAGTGCAGAACTCATCATCACACATCAAGAGTGTCTTCATGGTATCGAACGTGGTTTAATCAGGGGCACTTTGCCCTACTCACGTCAGGTGTAGGATTAATGGAATCTGGTGTAAAAAAAAAAGAATTATCTTAGGTTTAATTGACATCAAACGTGGGTTAAATGGTGTCGAATGTGAAGTGAGAGAATTAACTCTATTTGGAATGATGTTGGACGCCAAAGGAATGACACTAGATGTGAGGAGAGAAAATTGTCTCGAGTTGGATTGAGGTTGACTGTGAGACTTTATCATGCTAGGCGTGAAGGCTTAGGGGCCTTTACCTAATCCATGCCAGACACGAGTTGTATGATGTTGGGCGTGGGCAAGGTAGATGGGTCTCTATCTCGATGGCGTCAAGTGCAGGTTGCCTTAAATTAACTTGTTGTTTTATGATGAAATTTGGTGACATGTATAGGATAATTTGATCTAATACATGTTGTATAATGATTAAGTTGTACTATATTTTGTATGTTTGATGTAAGATGATGAATCTCTATACATTGATCTAAGAAAATGTATAATGGATGTTATGGTTAAAAGTTGAGTTGAGTTGCATGTTGAAATTAGTTGAATAATTGTACTAAGTATGCTTTGATATTAAAGTTGTATTATGTTGATTGACCTAGAG